GCTGCTTTTCCTGCCGCTGCTACCTCGAGTGCTGGGGGGCCGGTGCTTTCCTCCCCCCAACCTGCTGCCCCCGTTTCTCTTACCCTGCCCTAGAGCCTCTCGGCGGATTTCCCCTTTGCCATGTGGGGCTAGGAAAGAGGGGGTGCAGTGAATTCTTCCACAAAAACAACAAAACAAAAAACACCAACCAACAAAACATGGAGGCGGCGTGCAAACCCGACGGCGGGGAGCAGGGCCATCGAGGCGGCGGCGCGGATCCCCCCGGGGAGGATTCTATGGACGGCTACTTGCGATCTCAGGGCTTGTACAGAAAGAGAGTCGCCAAGGATGGGTCGTGTCTTTTCAGGGCTGTGGCCGAGCAGGTAACCGCTTTGCATAAACAAAGCACGCTCTGAAGGAAAGCCTGGGGAGCGGGTCTCGGTGGTGGGTGGTCATTAGCGTTAAAATGTGGACAAGTATAGGTTCAGGCTGCGCGCTCATGTGCCGGAGGGGGAAGAAAATAATAATTCTGTATTGAGAGAGCCAAGTTGTGTGTGTACAGCCTTCTCTGTCATCGAGAAATTGTTACCTGTTTTGACCTTCCACTGCCTCCTTGGAGTTTGTTATTTTTTCACGTGTAAGATTCCAACATTTGGGCACAGCTGCTTTGTATGAGATTGTTTAGGAGGAGGAGTTTAGTGGGAAGAGCTGAAAAGCTTTGTTCTTACTTTTGTTAATCAATTTACTATAAAATTAGAGAAAGTGAGTAATTTCTCTTCAGTTCTTCCTGTTGAATTCCCTTCCCCCCATTTCAGTGTTAGTGTTAAAGGAAAAAAAAAAAGTGACAGCGTCATCTTGTCTTAAATACAAACAAACAGCAGTGGGAGCTCTAGTGCTTCTGATTGTGGGAGCCCAAATTGCTGTGCTAATTATACACAATTCACTTTTTTTTTAATTATTCTCCCTACTGATTTTAGGTTTGGGCAAGCTCCACTACCGATATGGAGTATCATTCCTTTTTTAGTTCAAAGGAATAATGAAGGAATATACACTGATGTTCTGATTTTTGATGTGTATAGGTTTTTTGCTGGTGTATGTAGAACTTTTTCTCCAAATATTAATTAGCTGTTTATCATCCCACTCCTGTTTTATTGAAGGGAATGTCTTCAACTCATAGTTACCCACAAATCCATAAAATAGGTTTATTCACAAACCTGGCCTAATCTCTGTACTCTTCATGCAAAAAAACACCCCCTGAAGCTGATCTGACTTTGCAGATGTTTTAATTTGAGGCTGGAGAAGCTGCAAGTTAAATTGACTGGAACTTCCCTCCATTGTAGTGAGGATGCAAAGTCACATTAGGGATAACTGTGAACCTATGATGAAAGTTTTTCCAGTAGAGATTGGAATAGGTGGTAGAATGCAGGTTTCGTATTTGGATCTGAATTCCTGACTTCCAAATCGGTATTTGGGCAACAGGCCTGCACCTCTTAAAGAGAAGGTAAACCTGGACCCTCTTAGGTTTGGCTGGATTTCATTTGCGCAAGTGCGTGTCGGTAGGTGGTTTCCTCGTGCTGTCCTGTGTTAATTTACTACTTCAGTTTGTCAAGTCCTTTACAAAGGACTTGGTTAAAGAATGTTGACAAATGCTGTTTGTTTCACTCACTAAATCCTCATAAAATGGAGTGTTTGAATTTAGTAAATCTGTGAGTTTGGCAGTTATTTAAATTTTTAGGTAATTGAGTTCTCACATGCGTAAAGGTGTCGTTACTGAATGAATATGCATTTTAAATATTCTTAAGAATAAATCCAGGGTATTTCTAAGCCTCTGTTCAGACAACAGTCATTATTTATTTGTAACCTGTCTTGAAAACTCCAAAATACCAGTGTAGCTTTCTTCTCTTTCTTCCTTTGTAGGTGTTACACTCTCAGTCTCGGCATATTGATGTAAGGATGGCTTGTGTAGATTATCTTCGGAAAAATAGGGAGAAATTTGAAGCAGTAAGTATTTTTGTTTTCTTTGTGAACATTTAAAAAGATATTACCTAATTCCTTCCATTTTTCTAAGGTATTTTCTGCTGTCTGTCACTACATTAATCATAACTATATACTGAATGATGCTTTTAAAGTGAGTGCTCTTTAAATTCAGTGGCGCATATGTGATTGTAACTCATTTTCCTAAGCCTGGAGAATAGTGTGGATACTGCTTGGGTTAGAGTGATGTGGGGTAGGAAGAATGGGAAGAGTTTTTAATGCTCATTGAAAAACAAACCAAACTTACTTAGACTTTGGTAGTGGAGCTACCAAAATCTGGAGTTTGTTTTAGTATAATGCCTATTTTAACCAAGGTCATAAAATGTTCTTATTGTGTAATTGCTTTAACAATATATAAGGGATTTGACTGATGAGATTAGTGAAATTGGTTTCAGTCTGTAACTTACTGTGCATTACCACTGTATTTTTTTTCTAAACATCTGTAATTAAGTTCTTCATCAACTGTGGACAGAAAATATTTTGATTTTCATCTATATTTGGCCAATTTTGTCAGTGTTAACATTTTAAAGTCCTTTTAAATTTTTTTTATTTTTCCTTTTAAAAGAACAATAATAAATAACATGTGTATTTAACTAATTTCCAGGATAGCCAAAATGGGAATACGTGTAAGCATTTATTCCTAGAAGATTATTACTCAGCTCTCTTTCTGTTCTAAATTTACCTAGACCCAAAATAAAAAGGCTGGCTTAGATTCACAGTAGCTCAAGTAAGAGAAAGAAGGAGGAATAAGAGTGTATGTGTTTGGTATAATTTCTGACCAAGTGCCTTGTACTCAGATATGACTCTTAATGTGGAACTTGCCAAGTTGAATGACTAAAATACAGTAAATGTTTTTGGGAGAATGCAGCTCTGATGTGACTATTTCCATTTGCCAGGACTGTTTGTTTCCAGTCCAGATGAAAACTTAGCAGCTCTTAGATCTCTCTACTTTTTATTTTTATTTTTTCACTGCTGGCCTTTTATTCCCTTCCTTTCCCAAATTAACCCACTCACTCCAATATCTGCTTTTTTACTGCTGTTTTCATGTTGCATTATGTAGTTCTTGCAAATACCGCAACCCTTTTTTCACTCTAAATGTGTATTGTTTCCCCTCCTCACTTCTGGCATCTTCTCGGCCAGGTAACTGCCTTGCCAAGCCCTGCTGGCTAAAGCTGAACTTCTACTCTCACTACTCTGTTCAGTTTTCCTCATTACCTTGTTTCTTGATCAATATGCGTAGAGCCCTGCCAGCTTGTAGCTTAACTTCATACTGGGAATTGCTTCTTTGCATGGACCTCCGTGGGTCTATATTTTAACTACATCAAGCAGATTATGTCTAAATAACATTTTTAGAATACACCCTCTCTGTTAGCCATGGTGGCTGAAACACTTTTCAGTTACCACATCTCAGTTACTGCAGCATTTTTCTGACCTTCACATGTGTGAAGTTGATCTCTTCATGTGTGTTAAGGGGTGCGGCTGAAAGATTTCTTTCTGAGCCGGGCATGGTGTAGCCCAAGTTGTTTGCATCCTTTCACTGAAAGGAAGAGCAGTTTGCTTGAAGGAAAAAGTGCTTTGTGATTGCCTGTACTGTATCTTGCCGCCACTCGGCTACTCCAGAAATGTGACTCCCATTTCTGCTTGTCTATCGCTTTCTCTTTGGGTTTTTTGTTCATTTGTTTCTTTGGTTTGGGTTGTGTGATGACTCCAAAAGCTGTTTATGTAGTTATTTTCTGGAATGCAGGCCTATATGTTTGACCATTTGTTCCCTCATCTCTACATCACTTGAATTCAAAGTTCTTTGAGGGCAGGATAGTCTTAAATTTCCAGCAGTATGTTCCCATTGGTGTAGTGGGGTCATCGGCTGTGATTTCCATATGATATGCTAATAAAAATAACTACTTTTTTTTTTTTTAAATTTTTTAAACACAGTTCATAGAGGGGCCATTTGAAGAATATTTAAAATGTTTGGAAAATCCACAGGTATGTTAAACTTGATTTTTAAGAGAAAGCAATACTTTTGTTGAAGTTGATGGATAAGTGGATGTTTTTTTTTCTCACAAATGTTTTTGAGCTGAAGAGGTCTTTGAATTATGTGAATACATACTTTTATGTGTGTGCAGCATTGTAAAATGATTTTGAGAATTTTTTTTTTTTCAGTGTGTCTTGATTTCAGCCTCAAAAGTGTTTTCAAATATTTTTAGCCTCTGTAAATGCCAACAAACATAGCATGGCTAGCATTTTCTTGAAGGCAGCCTTGAATAAACATCTAAAAGTTTATGTGATGAGAAGACACTGGTGTAAGGAGTATTAGGAACAGTAGCCACAGGCTCGTACAAAGATACTGATTTGTGTCCTCCCAATTTAATTTTAGTATTTTCATTAAGGAGTTTACAGTTTGTGTAAGCTGGGTGGGTGGAAGAGGACTGTACATTGCAAAATCTGTTAATTTTTTTGAGTGTTTATACATGCATTTTATTAAATTTCCCCTCTGGAAATCAAAACACAATTAATTCTTTCCCCTTCCATGCCTATAGCACCCTTAGTTAGAATGATTGACTAGATGATTATTTCAGTTTCCAAAATGAATGATGGAGACTGGGGGAAAAAGTGTGTGTTAGCCTGTTTGGCTGCTGTCTTGCTTTGTTTATTCCATTTTTTTTTTTTAATTGCAAAGTTTTTCTAGTCAAATCCCATGGTTATATGCTATCCTAAATGATAAATCATGCCGTTTCCAGTAGAAATTGTGCTGCGCTATGCCAGTGTAAATGGTTTATTCCACGTGCACTGTGTGTATAGAAAATGTCTTTTTAGTGTTTGCTAGTGTTTAAAATTTTTTTTTGAAAAATAACACAGTAGCTTTTTTCCCATGATCAGAGAAATTTAAGTGATTCTAAATTTTAAAATTGTCAATGAGAATTAAAAAAATAATACTAAAAAGAATTGGACTGCTGCAAGTTCCTGCCCCAAACTCAGTTTGAGTGATTTTAAATTTAGTAAAAATTTTAAAAAGAAATAAACAAAAAAGCTTTAAAAAAGACAAAAACCAAGCCAAAGCAAAAAACCCTAAGAAACATCCAGTCACATCATACTGGAGCACACAGTAGAGTGGTTAGGCTGATCACGGAAGCAACAAGTTTTACTCTTCTATGGGTCTGGTTTATGATATTATTGACCTTTCACTGTTTAACAGATTTAGAGGACAGATTTTTGGTCTTCAGGTATTGATATGTGGCTGCTTGTATGAGAAAAAAGTTTACTTTGGCTGTTCGGAAGTGTTTTACCTTCTTTGTGTTGGAGCACAAGGATACTTGTATGGAAGTTATCTGTGTTTTAGGCATGAGAGTTAAGCCTCAGTTTGTCTATAGCTTGAAGGTGCACAAACCCAGACTGCTTTGAAGGTAGAGAGTAACTTTTTCAAAAGCACTCGGTAAATTTCGCACTTGGATTTTTCAAAAATCACTTTTGGAAAGCCAGTCTGCTGGCTGTTTAACAAAAGAAGAAAAACCCTAACACGGTATCGCCTCTCAAAAATTGTACTCCTCAGTGGTAGATCTGCATTTTTGTGATTGTTTCTAGTTGTCTCAGTTTTCGTACAGATCCATTTCTAGTTTGGGAAAAATATCCCTCCACCTTTTGTAGCCCTTAATCACCTTCCTGGAGTAGTTATTTCAAAAAACCTTCAGATACAATCACAGTGTCTTAGCTGAACTTCAAACTTGATGTTAATATATTTACTTTTGACAATGATTTCTTACTTCTCTTGAGGAAGTTTAATAATTGTGTGGTTGTTTGAACTTAAGTTTTCTTTTTTTTTTTTTTTAATACAGGAATGGGTTGGACAAGTAGAAATAAGTGCCCTTTCTCTTATGTACAAGTAAGAAAACCATTAAGTATGTTTTATTGAGATTAGTTGTTTTGTTGGTGAATGAGCTGGAATAGCAAAGATGATAAATTTTATATTATACTGTAGTTCTTCAGAAAATTAAACATATGCTTTGAAAATTGTAGCTGTCAAGGTATTAATCTGTGATTTGACTAGAGGTTTACAGTAATGTCATTCGTCTCACCTGCACAGGTAATTCTGGCTAGATTTATACAGTTAGTATTTTGTTAATTTTCATCTCATAATTTTTGTGTTGATATTGCTTTTCTTCCTATTTCTTGCCAAGACTTTAATATTAATTCTAGTGCCAAGCTCTGGGCTGTAGCCATTTCTTTATTACCTCTGTACAGGTGCTCTGGTGTAGCTCAGTGGTATCAGCATCGCAGGCTGTCTGCTAGGAGGTTGTATGTGACAATATAAGACTACCTGGTGTGCTGCTGTGGCTTATTCTCTTTTCTATATACATTTTGATTTTTCCACTCTCTCAGTGTGGACAAAATATCAAGAGTTTGTAAAGGGTCATAGCTTGAGAAATGTTTTAGTGCTTGTGCAAAGATAAATGTTCCTCTTGGTGATGAACAGTTTTGCTGTTGTGTTTTTATGAACTGTACTCCCATATATTGATTTTTTTTTTTTCCACAAAGTAACATAAAACAGTATGCTAAATACTTATAACTGCAAGGCAACGAGCAGTGTACAGCATCTTCTCTTTCTGCTGTTTGTAAACCAGTTAAGAACTCAGTATTGAAAAAGCTTACGGTAGATTAATCGCTTTGTACTTTGACTCTTGATGAGATGTTTGATAAGAGTAAAGTAACTAGTTAGATGTTACTTTTGAGTACTTAGATGAGTGCTAAGTGTGGGAACTGGCATGAAATTCTCTCTTCGTGTTTTGTGTGGTTAACGGGACAGTTGAACGTTGCATGTGCTGCATGGGTGGAAGAGGACCACAGTGAAATGTGGAGTCAAGTTGGCTCTGGAGGCTGAGAGAGAAGTTCTGGTGGGTGGGTTGAGCCAGGGTGCAGAGAGATGTAACTCGACTGAAGTCAACAGAACCATGTGCTTGATTTCATCGGAACTGGGTGGGCACAGTCTCCTGTTTGTGGCATTTCTGGCGACAAGAAACGTATTCTCATGAAACAGCAACACTTTATTTTGAAGTCGTCACAAACTGGTATCCAGGACCACAGCTGATAAATGAATAGAGAGACAAATCCTGGCTAAGTGTGTTTGTGTGGTTGTTTTTTTGTTTGTTTGTTTGTTTTTTTTTTCATTGGAATCATGAAGAGGCTTGTGACAGTTGGAGCTGTACGTAGTTATTTCACTGCAGAGTTGAACACACGAGAATGGTTACTGCTGTGGTTGTTTTGGGAAGGCTGGCTTCTTTTTCATAAAGACACTTTAGAGGCTCTGGGAAAGTAGGAATGGAGATGAAGGTAGGGGAAAAGATTTGTTTCTCTTCTCGCATTCTGGCAGGCTGAAGGAAAACAAAAGTATGAATTTCCTGTTCTATGCCAAGTGGAGAAGTGAGAGTTTCAGATTTCTCAAGCATAGGATAGAAATGTGGTCTGAAGAGGCCTGTTCCCATTTTCAGTCCCAAGTATAATTTGGTAATCTAGTAAGTTTTCCTCACCTCTCTGAAGCAGGTGTGCCTCTGAGCTGTGAAATTCTTTTCCCCTCAGAATAGTTTTTTCTGAGTTGTTGTAAAAAGTCTTGTTTTGCTTTTTAATACAAACATTGCACCTGTGAATATACTTAATAGTTCTGCAAGATTAATGAAGCTTTTGATTGTGTAAGCAAGGAAGAAGTTGGATGAAGTAGCAGGTTGCTGAGCAAATAGTTCCAAGGGAGGATTATGGATAAAAAAGAGGAGAGAAAACAAATCTAAAATCAGGACAGAGATTGATTATAGGAGACAGACAAGTAGCAAAGATTGATAGTCTTTCAGTTTTTAGAATATGAAAAATCAAATAGAATGTCACATCAGTATCAGTTGTGGATTTTCCTGTATTTGTTACTTTGTAGCCAGTTCAACTGTTTATAGTTTTTAATCTAACAAGCTAAAGAAAGCAATACAAGGGTGGAAACTAAATTCTAAATTTGCTTAACTCTAGCTCAACTTTTCGTTTATGGTATTTTTCATCTTCTTAAATGTATTAAGGTACCCAAGCTTAGTTATCGGTGATAAAACTTTTCTAAGCCTGTTTTAAAAAACAGGTAACTTTGCTGATCAGTACCTGCCAGTGCCGCCACGGCACAGGATCTGCTGGCTTGGTCCAGCCTTCCCCAAAAGTGTGTCTCTATTCCTCCGCTGAAGAGAGGACCGAGGCATTTCTTTGCCATCTGAAATCCAGTGATTTGAGTCTAATGAACACAATGAGCTGTTAGATTCCACACTACATGGAGCTATTATCCGGAGAGAAGGAAGCTGAGCCTTCTGAATGTGGTGGGGTTTTGGTTTTTGGGGTTTATTTTGTGCCAGCACATCTTATTCTAGTATATTCTTTTATGAAAGTAAGCTTCTTCATGACTACTAGTAGTTGTGCTCATCATCTTCAGTATTTTGTTCCACTGGGTGTTTTCTCTGGTTATGTATGTTCCTTGAGCTTCACTTGAATATTCCAGTTTTATTGGTATTAATTTATCAATGAATTCTTAACTACTAGGTGTTTTGTTTTGTTTTGTTTTTTCCTAGGAAAGATTTCATAATATACCGGGAACCCAATGCTTCTCCTTCACATGTAACTGAAAATGGCTTTTCTGATAAGGTAAAAAAAAATAATTTATTACTATTATAAACAGCTGAGTTAAGACTGCTTTATAAACAGCAAGTACTTTCATGTAAGTCTTATTCTACACAAGAAATATTCTGAGAAATGAAATTTATCAATTCCTTTTGTATGTATTTAAAGCAGCTATTCTGTTAATACATGTGGGGTGTGCTATATCTTCCTAGTAATCTAAACACTTGTACATTGATTTTTTTTATAGAATGTAGGTCGCATCGCTATCTCTGTCTTTACTTTTTTTTTTTAGTCAAATTATTTTTGGTGTGAAGAACATCTGCTAAACATTTTGATTGTTTATTGATACTTTGAGTTCCTAAGAATTAACACAGAGCATTCGTACATTAAATTGAATTTAAAAGGTAGTGCTCATGAAAAACCAAGTGAGATGCACAACCTAAAATATCTTTGTGGCTTCTTTAATAGGTATTGCTGTGCTTCTCGAATGGAAACCACTATGATATTGTTTATCCCATAGAGTATTCAGAAAAGGCTGCTCTCTGCCAGTGTAAGTATTATGTTGGTTAGTTAAAAGCTCCTGTTTTTACCAGAAATCTTAAAATGATCTCCATCAGGTTTCAGGAGAAAGCTCTGTATGAAAGTTTATTATTGCCATTCTTTAGTAGCTTAGTTTTTCTTATGAATTATCAATGACAGTACGATTTTGTGAGAGCATGAATTCTTCCTGTGTCCTGAATCTTGACAAAGCAGATTATATACCAAGACGCCTCTTTGAATCTGAGGAGTCCAATATGATAAATTAGTGCACCAACATTTTCTGTTTATCTGTTGCATTGTCTTCAGTCAGCATTCTGGTTTAAATTTTGTATTTCAAGACTATGTTAGCAAACTAATTATGTTAAAATTATCCTTGCACGTGCCACAGAAATTATGGGGGTTCCACTTAAAAAAAAAATAACTGTCTTCATGGATTATTGTTTTCTTTACTAGATTGCAGAAATGGCCACTGGCAATCCCTGCAAGGATTCTAATTCTTAGTGAAATCTCTGTCTGTGTGCAGAGTTTAAAGGATAAGGCCAAGCCTGCCTGTCAGGAGACTTGATTTCTAGTGTTGTGCATACCCATGAAACCGTAGTAGCTGCAGCTGGTTTTGCTTCTTAGGTCCTGGCTGTTTCATTTAACACATCAAAATGTTTGCTTGCTTTGATTTAGGTCATCTGAGATGCATCTGTAATGGTGGTAGAAAAATGTTGTTTACCTTGTAATTGACTTTGCCCATCCCCTTTCTCCTCCTTTTACCAGCTCTGCTGTATGAGTTGCTTTATGAGAAAGTATTTGACACAGATGTAAAGAAAATCATAGCAGAACTTAGCGCTGTTGGTGTGACTGAGGAAAGTAATGGTAGCAGTGAATTATCTGCTTCAGATTCGGAGGATGACAACTACAGGTAAACGGGATTTGAAAGTTTATGTAAGGTGCCTGTGAGCAATTAATGTGAAATGAGTTTTCTGTATTTGTGGTGGGTGGTAGAATCTAACAGGGTTGAAAACCTTTACAAGTTGTTAAGAAAAGAAACACAAAGAGCTAAGTTTAGAACCGTACAAGAATGAAATCTATGCAATCTTTGCTGTATCTGAGGACAGATTCTGGTTCCTTTGGTTTTCCTGCAGTCCAGGTTTCGGTGTCTTTACGTAATGGGGTGTTGCCATTGCAACGTGTCCCTCTTCCTGTTTAAAATGGCAGAATCCCCTGGGAGGAATGTCAGTGTGCCAGCCTGGCATGGTAAATGCCATGAGAACTGCTTGTGTCGCTCTTGTAGCTGAGTAGACTTATAGGAATCTGATCCAACTTGTGTTGCTTCCACGTCTAGGGGCTGAAATGCCTGCTCGACATGTAGCTATAATGGAGAAGCAAGATGTAGCTTGCTCCATTTTGTTCCTAGATCTTTATGGAGGGGTTATATTTGTGGGTTTGTATTCTTTTTGTTGGACCTGCTTTGAAATTTTGACCTACTGATTGCTTGTGCCCAGCAAGGCTTTTGCAGAGCTGATTTTTGCATTTACATCTTGGCATTTTTTCTTCTATTTAATGCTGTTCTTAAAGCCTTGGCTTGTGTGAGATTGCACTGAAGCCGTGGGGACCATGCGGTGTTATGGCATCACACACGTCCTCTCTTCTCGCTGAAAATCATTAAAGCCCTTTCTAGGGGCTCTGCTGTAGTTTGTGTGGCACGTGGCAGAAGGAATTCTTTGAGGCATTGGAAGCTGATTTTTATCTCAAGCTGAAAAAACAGAAAGGAAGACTGTGAGAATCACCAGAGAAAGAAAACCAAGTTCTAGGAAAGAGATTAGCTTCCTTTCTTGTTTGAGAGGGGAAAAAAAAAAAAAAGAAAAAGAAACCAAGCAGGGAACATTTCCAATTAAAATACAAAGTATTTCTGCCTCTGGGAATAAGTATTGTAGTTAAGTGTCGGAGAGTGGAAACCTTTATTCCTTTCTGTTCCTGGAGCTTTACTGGGCTTGATATGCAGTAGCATTACTTTATATCTTCGGGATTTATAAGGAGATAAACTGCTAACCTCCATAGCACCTTTGTGAGTGAAGGTCGTATAGTCACTTGAGACTGTCAGACTCAGTGTTTTTGATTCAAACCACATGTCTTAGAATGCAAGAGCTAGTGTGTGAGACTTTTGACCTAGGTAACCTAAATAGCAAATGCTCTGCTGTGTTTATGAAGTCTTCAAGTTTTTGCTTGGTTTTAAGGTAATGGAACAAGCTAAAGTCAACTTTTGTTTTCTGGGTAATCTTTTTCATTTTATAAACATGAACTTTTTTCATTATGTTGTTACTAAATGTAAGTTTTTATTTTGATTTTAGAAAAGTTAATGCTGACAGTTGCCTACAACTGTTTTAGGGAAAAAAATACTTGTTTTTTCTCAGTGGAAAGTAAATTTCTAGCAATGTCAGGTGTAGAAAATAAGTCTAAATTTGAGTGCCTGATGCCAGTTAATTAACGGAATGGGTTTTGGTTTGTGGTTGTTTTTTTTTTTGTTGTCTGTTTTTTGTCTGCTTTTGCTGCACTTTCCTTGCACTGTTGCAAAAATTTCAGAAGAATTTGTTTTCTTTGCCTGTTCCCCCCCTCTTGTTTTTTTTTTTTAGGTGATGGCTAATTCAGTACACCTAAGTTACACTTTGTAAAACTCATGCCTAGAAATAAAAATCTTATATAATAGAGAAATGTAGTTCTTGTTTTGGACTTGGCTTTTTCATTTTAAGAGATGAGACGTTGTGTGGTATGCTTATTATGGAAAAATATGTAGAGTGGTAGTTCCAGTACATTTTTATCCACTTCCAAAATCTTCCTTATCTACTTTCCTGGCTTTATTAGTACTGTATTACCATAGCTCGCTTCTGTCCTTTTGCAGAAGTAAAGCTACAACAGTTAATGATATGAATGGATTGAAGTCTCTTTCTGGAAACAAGGTATTTATACTAAGATTTATTTTATTTTTAATAACTTGTACTCTCCTATTTTTTCAGTGTTTAATGTCCACAAGAGAGTTTTGAGGTTCTGATTTTCCTAATGTGATATTTTCAAGACTGCTTATTTCTTGAAAAGTAATATTTACTTTTGACATTTGAAAAGGTGGATAGTGTCCTTTTTAACACTGCTTAGTTCTTAATTTTGTTCTGATATGGTTAAAAGACACCATTGAATTATTTTTCCAAGGTGTTGATGTATTTTCAGTTTCTTTGTATTTGAGTTTATAGCTTGAGCACAATGATTGAAAAATGGAAAACTGTACATCTTTACGTGGTCGACCATTTAGAACTCTCTTCTGTTTCACACAGCACCTGAAGAGCAATGGGAATCCCGCCTTGGTGGTCTTACCTAAAAAAGTTCTTAAATCGCTCAATCCATCAGTTTACAGAAATGTTGAATATGATGTTTGGCTTCAATCCAAATGGGGTGAGTAACCAAATACTTAAAAGTTCCAACTTCTGCAAGCTGATGTATAAAGTGAAGCTCCGTAGAAGAAGAGAGATGCGAATGGCAGTTGGGGTTTCAATAGTGGTCTTCCTCGCATGGGTCGCTGTAGATTTAGGGCTTGAATGTCTGGCTTGCATTTTTACTGCATAGAGAAAGTCTTTTGGCATATTTAAAATAACTTGTTATTACTGCTAATGTATTTACAGATCAGCAAAAACAAGATTTTTCTATTGCTGCTGGCATGCAATACTCAGTTGGAGATAAATGTAAAGTAAGTAGCATTGAACTCTAGTTTATAGAGACATTACCGTTTTGCTCAAGATGCCAATTTTCCCTTTGTTAACTATTTTGACATATAATTGCTTCTTAAAAATATTCTTTGCTTGTACCTTTAACTGTGCATATGCTCATTTAATTGTTGGCAGTGTCTGTGACTTAGAGCATACATTTAGAAAAGGTGTGTAATAGAACATCTGATTGGTGCACTTCTGTATTAGGAAGTGGAGTTAATGTGGAGTTGATTACTTAATGCTTAATAGTAAAGGCATAAAATTGGTATTTAAGACCCTAAGGCTGTCTTGTGTAGTATCAGATAAAGGGTACAGGTATAAGTAGCAGAAAAAACTCTGGTAATTAACACAGTCTTGCTCTCAAATATTATATGTATGTTGCAAGGCAGTAAATATATGAGATAAAAACGTGGGAAGAGAAGGTGAAGTCAGTGAAAAGTGGAGATGGCCAGATTAATAGAACTGGAAAACCAAGTGTTGTAACAGAACACTTAATATTTAACAGAAGAATTTTAAGAACACGGAATATCAGTCGGACAAGTGCTAGTATGATCATGTCAGAGAAACTTTTTTTGCTTGTTTTAAAAAACCCCTGAAGAATAGGTTGAGAAATAATTGGAGTTCATTATGTTCTTATTTAAACTAAATTTCACTTTATATAGTGATGAATTTTTCTTTACATGGATTTTAACAAGGAAAAGCTTTGGCTTTTATTTTAAGAGAAAATATTTTCAGTAAATCTGAAAAGCCTTGATACACTGATTACTTTTTCTCATGTAGTTTTGGAAGGGATGTTTCATTAATTAGTGTCACCTGGCAAACTTTTTTTTGGTATTTATTATTTCTGTTTGAAGAAGCAATATGGATTGAGGATTTGCTCTTGATGGGTTGATACTGAAATGTGTGGTGTTTGTTTGTCAGATTTTCTGTTGCCCAGAGGGAAAGTTCTGTTTTTAACATGGCTCAGAGTTACATCCTCTCATTGACTTGTTTGAAATTAATGCTCCTTCTTTCTTTCTCCCTCTCCCTGTAGGTGCGCTTAGACCATAATGGGAAATTTTATAATGCCCATATTCAAGAAGTTTGTTCAGAAAATGGGCCAGTTGTTGTATTTGTAGAAGAACTTGGAGCCAAGTAAGTGCTTAATCTTTTCCGGAAAAGAGTGCCCAACTGAACCTTGGTAATGGCAGCATTACTTTGAGTCATCTTCAGTGTATCTACTTCTTGACTTGAAGTAGTACTACTGCAAAATTGTTAAGAAAGCAACATACAAAAAGAAAGGAAAAAAAAAAAAAGAAAAGGGGTTTCTGCATTGATAGTCACTTGAGACTTTTCTCTTTGATGCTGTCTAGTCTGGATATTACTTGCAGAGTAAAACAGTAAGTACACTGCTATTAGGTTTTTATTATTCTTTTTTTTTCTTTTTGCACAAGATTCAATCCTAAACAGATCAACAGTGTCCTAATTAAGTGTTTCTAGTTGTGCTTAATAATTAGACGCTGGTTTTGTGACAAGCTTTTCATATTAAAAGGTCCAAAAAAAGTGCAATGTAGTACTCAACTACACTGATTGAGTAGCTCTGCTTGATTTCATACAGAGAGTCCCAAGTTACTACTTATATCATCATCATTGCCCTACCAGGAGACAAACTGTTTAGAGTTTTCAGTAGGGGTTGCAGGTTTTCTTCGGTGTGTTGTGGGTTGGCTGTTTTTGTTGGTTTTTTTTAGGAGGGGTGGTAGTGCTGCTGGTTTGAGGGAGGTTTTACTGTTTATTGTTGGGTGTGTGGTTTGAGACTTTTTCTTTAATTGTGCTGGAAGTTCCGTACCTCTTCTGGGGCAAAAATAGTCCCACAGTTGAGGGTAGTAGTAGTTTGGGAAGCAAAAAAATCTTTCAGTCAGGGTAAATGAGGGAAGGAGAAAGATGTGTGTTAATCTCATGCAATATCTTTGTGCTAAAAACCAAAAAAAAAATAAATGTTGTGAGATCTTAAGATTGTCTTGCACTTTGTTCCCTTTTTAAATTGAGATTTAACCTGTTTGAACTGTTACCAATTGGAATGTCTTACTTTCACATAATATAAACAGTTGCTTGAACATCCTACAGCATCTAAAATAATTTAAAATGGAGTAATTGCTCTGAGATATAAACCACCAATATAATGTTTTTCAATTGACATTTTTGCAGTGTTTTTGGTAAGTTGATCTGAGTATTTTGTTTTTTCTGATCAGTCTCTTTCTGTCTGCCCTGAAGACGTTATAATAGTCGCTTCACAAATGGCTGATCATTCTTTACTGGTGTAAGTTTGCATCAACTTATCAGAGAGAGTTTTATTTAAAAAAAAAAAAAGTTTGTTCTTCTACACGTGGCTCATAAATAACAAAGAACTTTGAATGCAACATTCTCAAAAATGGAAAGATCTGTCAGTCTTAGTAAACATGTGCTATTCATTTATGCAAGCCTCAGTCTGGTCTTTAAGATATTTTTCCCTCCATAATTCCTTGTTTTGTAGGCATGCTGTCTCACTGAAGAGCCTTAAACCTCTTCCACAGGCCTCTCCTATGGAGGGCTGGAACACTGTGCCAGGGAAGAAGATAAAAAAGTTTTTCCCAACATGGGGGCAGAATGCTCAGCCCGGTAGGATTTTACCTGTCTTTGTGTGCAGAATCTTTGCTGTCAGATGTTCTGTCCCAAAGAGCTTAAGAAATTACTAAAAATAAATAAATATGTTTACACATGTTTTGTCACAGATGCAGATTGCAGAGGGCCAAAGAATCAGAGCAAGTCAATAAAACCCCAGTCAGCACTACCTCCTCGACTTCAGCATACTGTGGGAACCAGGCAGCATCAGTTCTTATGTTCTGGACCCCAACCTCATCAGACCTCAACTGAGCAGAAAACTGCAGGCAGGAATCCTTCCCAAGCTGTAAGGTAAAACTTGCAAATAAACATCTTACCTTCAGCTCTGACTGAGCTGCTTGGAGCCCAGGTGCCTGCTTCAGATGCTTCCAACACGTTCTTTTGAAATATGTTGCCATTGAATTGAGAAGTGTTCTGAGTCCTTAACAAATATACACAAGGACAGGAAAGATAATTTTTTTTTTATTATTATTTATTTTATTTTTAAACCCTTTTCAGAATTGCTGCCAATCATGAGCTCCCACATTTTTTCTTGCATGACAGCATCTTCCTGGTGGTACGCAAAACTGCAGTTTCTTCTTGGAAAGTGGATATTTTAGTTTTTTTTTTTTCCCCCCAATTGGGACTGGTGTTGCATGTTGTGCTTCTTGGCTCTAGCTAAGATCTTCTCTCAGCTTCTGCAGAACCTGTCGTAGAGGGCAGCGGATGAAGGGAGGTGATTCTGTCCCTCTCCTCCCTTCTGGTGAGACCCCACCTGCAGTGCTGCTTCTAGCTCTGGAGTCCTCAGCATGAGAAAGACATGGACTTGTTGGAACAGGTGCAGAGGAGGGTCTCAAAAATGAGAGGGACTGGCACATCCCTCTTAGGAAGAAAAGCTGGGTGAGCTGGGGGTGTTCAGCCAGGAGAAAGGCTCCAGGGAGACCTTACTGTGTACTTTCAGTATTTATAAGAGGGAGGCCTATAAGAAAGTTGCGGGAAGATCTTTTTAGCAGGGCCTGTTGCGATAGCACAAGTGATACAGTGGTTGTAAGCTAGAAGAGGGTAGGTTTGGGCTAGATAGAAGTAAGGCAGTTTTTACAAGGAGGGTGGGGAAACAGTGGAACAAGTGGCCTGGAGAGGTGCTGGAAGCCCCATCCCTGGAAACATTCAAGGTCAGTTTGAACAGGCCTCTGAGCAACCTGATCTAGTTAAAGATGTCCCTGCTCATTGCAGGGGTGCTGGTCTAGATGACTTTTAAAGGTCCGTTCCATCCCAAAACATTCTTGCTTCTGTGATTCTATGACTGCTTCGTGTTATCACTGATCACTGGAAAGAGTAAGAGAACAGCTTTTTGCTTGCATTTGTTGGTAGTGATTTTTGGATTAATTTTGTTGCTGCAGCAGAGTTTCTGTTTTCATCATTGCTACTCTTGTATCTAAAAGACTATTCTGTACTTGGCTATAAACTCAAACTCTTCTTGGTCTGTCTTGTCATTCTTTTGTGTATTGTAAATCCTTGTGGAATAAATGGGGCTGGGGTGTCTTTGGAGTTGGCTGTATGCAATGTTTTAAGGGCGTTTTACATCCGTGAGTATCCCAAAATGTGTAGCTAAGTAATTCAGAAAGCTGAACTAGTCATGTTGTGTAGTGATGCTTCAGACATTGAAAATTTAGAGTGTATTTTCCCTTTTGTTGTATTTACCGAAATCTTCTTCCTCAGCTTTCTCTTACATGTTCATAGATAGCAGATAGGAAGTGGTCAGTTCTCAGTTGGCACAGAAATGAATTAGATCACTTGATGTAGGCATTTGGGTTTTAATTATGACCTAATGATTACTATTTTCTATAAAGTCTTTCAAAATTGTATTGAACCAAGTAAGTCATGGACAAAATCCCCTTTATCCCTTGCTCCATGTTATGCATAGGGGTAAGTAGGCAGGAAAGGGTCTGGTACACGTGGGATCACGTAAGCAGTGCTCTATAATAACCTACTTCCTCCCTTCCTTCCTTCTAAAGCGTGAGTTTGTGACAACTTCCTCAGTATCAAACAACAAAGTGATCTCTTTTCTTTTTCTTTTTTTCCCCCCTTGTACAGGAAACCAGACCGGGAGAGAACTGAGGATCTGAACCACAGCAGCAGAGATTGTAACTACTTTGGACTGTCTCCAGAGGAACGTAGGGAGAAACAGGCCATAGAAGAATCTCGTTCGCTTTATGAGATCCAGCAGAGGGATGAACAAGCTTTTCCTGCTCTTTCCAATGTATGCTTTTTTCCTTGTTGGAATTAACAGTACATTTGTCATTCTGTCTGTGATCCTTTAATTGTTGTTTGGTGGTCCTTGTGTTACAATTCAGATGTTAAGGATATTTTCTTCATGTGCTCTTTCTGTTTACAAGTATGTGCATCTAAAGTGCTCTGTATAGTCAAGACAGATGTAGTAGAATAATTCATGTCCACCCTACACAGTTCTTGAGGCATCTAGATATGGTAGACACGTGAGCTTCTGAAGCTGTGGGTTTCTTTCTTCATGTTCCCTCTGTCTTTGGAAGGCTTTGGACTCCCTTACAGTTACTTGAATGTTGTCTTTTTCTTGCATGATTGGATCAAACTTAAAGGTGAGGACAGCTTGCTCTGAAATAGTTAAATTTATTGGACAATTAACTCAGTAAAATGGCATTGTGGTGCTTGAATTACTATTAGAGGTGACTAGGTGATAGTTTCTGATTTGGTTCACATAAAAGCTGCTTGCTTTTTTTTTTTTTCTAACTGGCTTTTCTTTTTAGCCTGAGAACTTTATGGTGTGAGTGCTTGCCCAGTGTCAGAAGTAATGCAAATTCTTTGTCAGACTTGCTCTTTTTCTGTTGTGGCACTGAGCTGGCTTTGGTGAACTTATCTATGTCTGAGGGAAAGATGTAGCCTTTAGGTTATTATTCTATTGATGGAATTTTTAAAGAAAGCTGATTGGAGTCACAGTACATCCAGGGAGCAAGCAGATCCTGTGGGTGAAGAGCTGTGGTTCACATTGGTTTATTCTGGAGATGGTGTGGTTCTTTTTGGATTTATATCCTAGGGCAAACCAAAACAAGAACTAGTCTGGGAAGAACGAGCAGGTGAAAGGCCTTAAATCTCTTGCTTTGTGGAAGTGACTTCCTGTGCTGTATTTTTCAGTTCTTGAGCAGTAATTACTTATATTGGTGTAATTGAGAAGAAATGTACAGCTCTTCTGCACTGCAAAGAGCAGGCTAAGACTGAACAGGCACAGAGGTTGCGCTCAGAGAGCTGTGGTAAATGGAGAGGAGGGTTTACTTAACATGCAGAAGGGGGATGTGATTTTTAAAACAGATAATGGCTGAGCGGAACTTTTTGTTGTGTAGACTAAAGACAACACGAGTGCTCTTAATGGACACTTTGCTAAATTTTGCACTGAATGAAAGAGTGGGTGAACCTGACGCTGATCAAGACTGCTTCTGCCCCTCCCTACTTTTCTGCCCATCACAGAGATATAAGTGTTAGGGGTCTTGGAGGCAGAATAGTATCATCTCAGATGATGACAAAGAGTCATTGGACTTCTTATGAAAATTAATATTTCTGGTTTTGTGAACTTCTTCAGAATCAGTCAGTCTGTCAAGCGGCTACACAGACTGTGGATAATTTAAACCAGAAAAAGTTCTCAAGTAATGAGAGGAGAAACAGCAAGTGGACAGCGGAAGTGGAGGAGCAAAAGGATAATAAAGGTAAAAAGAAATGCTTTTAAGATTAAGGCTTCTTTTTGTTTGTTTGTTTGATTTTATTACCAGCTTCAGAATTTAGTCAAGATGTGGGGCATCTGTTTATAATCTGCAGTAACAGTGCCAAACTAAGCTAGACCAGGTAGCAAAGGCTTGGGAAGAAAGTACATGTTTTCCTGCTTTGCGAATGTGGCTGAGAGAGCAAGCTCTGTGCTGGATTTTTTGCAGTAGATCGTAAGAGGAATGAGAGAAATGAAAAGACTATAGAGCTACCCTGAACTGGATCCTGTTGAAATTCTAGTGGGTGTGCCTGAAAGTGCTAGTGGGAAGAGTAATAGAAGTCAGTTAAGAGAAAAGTAGGTAAAAGTGTTTGATGTGGCGTGATCAAATATTTTCATACAATGCTGCAGAAAGATGGTGTGCAGAAGAGTTGGAAAAAACAAACCCTGGCTGCAGTAGGAAGAGCTGTTACATGGTCAAAATTGGTTTGGCACTTGTTCCCCCCCAGTCTGTTAAAACACTCTTAGCTTTTATTCAATGACTCCAGGTTTTTCATCTTCTGTGAGGAAGTGGAATATGGCAGTAATAGATGAAAACTTTTAGCTGTTGGGAGGTATTTAGTAAATGTTTGCTAAATGCAACCGGTAGTATTTTTTTTAGATAATATTTTCTTTTTGTCCTGTCAGCTTTACTGTAACTAAACATTAAATTGGATCCTGGCTTTTTTTTTTTTTTTGTCCTTCCTTGACTAAATGATGTTCATACTCTTTAGTCTCCTAAGAGAGGAGTTCCTTACCTCATTTTTTCTAAATGTTTCTATTTCCTCATCACTGGCAACAGCACAGGCATTGCTGTTGTGTATTTATGGTACTTGTGCCCCTTTAGTACCTCTTACAATTTGCAATGCCTTCTTGAATCGCCTCACAAAGATTGATGTTACCTGTTTTTCATTTTCTAAACATGTGAGAACTTGCCACATTCGAAAACCTGTTTGATAAACAGTGACAAAAAGAAAGGTCATGTAAAGGAAAGCTCTTTACTACGGTGCCATGATAGATTTTGCTGAAATGCTTGGCACGTGCAGCGTTTTTCTTTTTTTTTTTGTTACACTCTGGATTGTGTTGCCTCTTCTGAAATTAAGTTAAAAATCCTATGAGAATAAACTATACTCCTTGCTGGCTATTTAGAGATTACTGTTGGTGCTTGGGGAATTGGCGGTAATTCTCATAATCAATACTGTTTTAATTTACATTCAGTTGTGCTGGTGCATATACTAAGTTTTATGAAGTATGTACCCATTTAGCAGCTGCTCTTAAATGTATGTGCATGAATTTGACAAGCAGTAGTAACAAGAATTGGGCATAAGCTAGAATGTGGAGAACTTGCACAGCTCTTACTATGTTGAAGATTTAACTGTGACTGGTTTTCAACACCATGTCCCCCACCAAGTGTTCGGTGGTGCTCAGGAAACTAAAGTTTTGGAGTCAGCCTGAAAACTTTCTACATCTTTTGAACCACTGAAACCTTCTAAACTCCTGTACCTTTTAGACAGTCAAAAACAGATGAGAATTTAGGCTTCTCTTAACACTTGAATGTGGAAATGCAGATCAAAACATTTTCAGTTTAAGCAAAGTACATACTGTTTCTTTTTCACTAGGAGGGTTTTAGGATGGATGATACCTGTTTAAAGAGACAGCTGCAGTTCTTTGCTGATTCCTTCAGGCATCACCAAAATGGTTCACAAAAGTCAGTAAAGAAAGCCTGTAGGGCTTTGAAATCCTGGGTTGAAGTAGCTGCTCTGTTACTGCCCTAACAACTATTTAATTTTAGGATGCTTTTGATCTTTGATAAAATTGATGTTTAAGTTTTCTGAAGCTATATGTACTGAGGGAGGTTTTGTTTTGAAGTTTTAACTTTCAGAAAGACAAACTCTTAACTGATTTCAGTTGTGATAGCTGTAAGTGGTGTAATGGTTCATTTACCAGGTTATGTCTTGGTATTACAGAGTCAAATTCCAGGCAGATCAACTTAAGTCAGAATCTTGAGCCAAATTCATCTGAGGTAATTTTAAAAGACCAATTTTTTTTTTCATTATTGCTTCTTTAATACATGATTAGTGGAGAGATAGCTCTCCTTAGAGCTGTGATTGCTGCTGCTTTACAGCTTTTAGTGAAATACTTCTAAGGTTGGAGGCTTGTATTACTGTCAGCTTTGCTCAGCCCCTGCAACCCGTACTTAACAGCCTTTCTCTGCAATCTCAGTTCTCAAATCTGGGCTCTTGAGAGCCTTTGTGAATCTGGATTTGTAACTGCTTAGCACAGTCTGTACTTTCAGTATAACGGGACCATGGAAGATTTGATGTTTACTACTAGCTAATGTGCTAACAGTGAAGATTTGTGGCCTCTCATTGGCTTTTAACCTTTGCTGTCCTCTCAATGAGCAAAGTGTTACGCTAGTGTAGTAGCAGTTGGGTGCTTAACCCGCTTTGTGTATGTAGCATGGTTTAATATCTTTGAATGCCTCTTTAAAAGTAAATCGTACTACTAGACTACCTGTGTCTGTTGTTTCTGACTTTGCTTTAGAAGAATAGTCAAGATGAGAGTTATCCAAAAGCTTCATCTCCTTTGGAACAAGTAAAAACAGATTCTCCGATTCTTGCTGAGCAAGTAAGAAATGTTTATTTTATTTCAAAGTTTTCCAGTCAGGAGACTTCAGACAAAGGGGAGCTTCATCACAGCCACGTATGTACTATGATACTGGCTTTTAATTATGTAGTCGTTTCTATGGCTATAATGCTAAAGTTTCCTATTTACAGCCATGAATTTATGTCCAAAATAATGTGAATGTGAAAGAACAATCTGTGGTAGAAAAGTGTAGCTTTTTATCTTCAGAGAAGGGGGTTATTTTGTATCTTTCTGCTAAGATAACCATACTTTTCACTTGAAATTCTTTACGCTTGCTGTTCCAGGTTTCTCTGAGGTTATTGGTGATCCTATAAGAGGATGGCTTTTCTTTGGGTGGGGTATAGTTAAATTTAATGCTTTTGGAGGTGGTTGTAGCACTGGTGGCTGTCAGGTACAGGCGTTGCTGTGGACAGAGCTCAGTTCGCAGTTCCTCACGCACTGATGTGTGGCTGCCTCAGATGTTAATGCCTGCAGCCTGATCTATTGCTAGCTCACACTTTGCTATGGTGGTGATGGCAGTCTGGGTAGTAGCAAGTCATCAAGCCTTTTTTGGTAGAAGCCAGAAGCATTAGAGTTTGCCAGCAATGGTGATTTAGGAACAATTTCATGTGATCTCTTTATTTTTGTAGAGCCTGACAGAATGCTTACCAAGTGTCACTCCAACACCCTCACCAGTCTTTTCTGAGGTGCATTTACGTCCAGCAGTGCCTTCTGTACCAACCATTGTGCCAGCTTGGCCAAGTGAGCCAACAACCTATGGACCAGCAGGTTTGAAGACGCATTAATGTAAATCAGAATCTACTAACTGTGACAAATACTTGCTACGTTGAAGATTCCTCCAGATGATACAGTTTTGTATAACTTCATGTCCCAAAGGCAGTCATTTATAGGAATATGGTTTCTCACTGCTGTAAGCTAGTGAGAGTTCTAGTAGATCTGTTTGCTTTACTCCCTACCTGAAGGTGGAAGCTGGGATGCATACTTAATTCAGTTTTTCTCCTAAGTGGGATAGCGTTGAGTTTTGAGGGGCTTTATGCTGAGGACTCCTTAAGGTAGAGCACACTGTCATTGTGTTGAAGCTTGATAAGTGTTTGTGCTCTGTGTGCTGTGTAGTAAGCTCCAGGGTTCACTAGGGATTCAGCTTGGATCTGCTATGTCTGGAACTAATGAGATCCATTTGGACCTGAGCTGCCAAGCCAGTGTAATGGTTTTATGTGCTGTGCATATCTTCTGATACGTGGAATTAACTTAGGTTCGATACTGCTCATTGGATCAGGTGCTGTATTTTCTCTTCCCCTGGTGTATTTTTGTACAAGAAAGTTTCTTGTACAGAAATCAGCATACTGTGACATATGGTGTGGTACTAAACCTGTCATACCTGACAGCATCTGTTACAGAAGATGCTGTAGCTTAGTTAATCTGAGCTTAGATTCAGAGTTGACTGTAAATGACTAGTCAGAATGAGAACTGCGTATTCACATGTATGTTTCAGTTCCCTCCTTTTTTTTTCCTTCCTATTTCCCTCTGCTATTCATTTTTTTTTTAAATATATATGGGAAGGGCTTAGCCATTTCTGGAAAGCTTAACTGTTTCACTCTCTCTGAAAACGGTCTGCATTTAATCAAGTCTTTTATCTGTAACTTCTTGACTCCAGAATTTCTTCGTGTGTCTTCCTGACTACCCTTTTTATTTCTCCTGTCTCTTGAAACTTGGTTTCCTGCTGCCATTTTCATTCGTGATTGTATATCATCGATATGTGTGTGTGTGTGTGTATACATACGTACATAAATACTTTCATATATACATACATATGTGTTTTTTCCGCTTAGGTATTCCAGCCCAAATACCTGCTTCTTCACTGATGCCAGCCCCAGCAACAGGACCTGACTCTATAGTATCACAGGCTCAGGTAACATCTGCTCCAGTTGCTGGAGTTCCTGTGTCACTACAAGCAGTTAACCAGCCTTTAATGCCTTTGCCTCAGACTCTGAATCCTTATCAGGATCCGCTATACCCTGGATTCCCTTTAAGTGAAAAGGGAGAAAGAGCTGTTGCACCCTCTTACTCCCTGTGCAATACAGGGGAAGACTTACCTAAAGGTGAGAAGCTAGAAGTCTGGATTTTATACCTCTTTTCTTTATAGGTTTTCTTGTCTTAAAATGTAGATAAAGATACTTTTTTGGTCCTGTTGTTAGTCCGTGTCAAAAGATCTGATTGTTGTCATTCTATAATTTAAGGTGTAGGAGGGAAGTTGAATAAAGTTCTGACTATTTTAGTTTGAATTGCTAACGTTGCAATTATTTTAAGTGGCCACATGTGAAAATCGGAAATGTTAATTTTCATTCTTAGCTTGAGTCATCATAACTTGAGTTTTTTTGTGAATGTAAAGGATATTCTTTGGAGAACTGCTTCCTTTTACAGTAACAGGTTTTCTCTTGTAATCAAAAGCTTGAAAAAATACAAGCTTTGGCATACTACAAATAAGAAATATGCCCAGACAGAACATAACATATCTGACTGCATGCTGGTGTTTGTTTACTAAATTGTTTCTTTAAAAAAAAAGTGGAAGTTCAGTTCCTCAAATTGTTAAAACTGAAATTTAAACTGCAGTTGTGTTCTGGATATCTTACTGTGGCAAAAAACCCCAACACAACCCCAATCAAAGGCATGCAAGCAGCAACTTAGTACCAGTGTGCTCTATTGAACGGAACTTTATGCAGGGATGAATTTTTGAATCAGAAGTGTAATATTTTAGGTATTCATAGATGTTTTTCTGGTTTCTTCCTAGATAAGAATATTCTAAGATTTTTCTTCAATCTTGGTGTGAAGGTAACTTTCAAACTTACATATGTTCTTGTGTTTGTTGTACGGGCAAGAGATTGTTCTTTACAAATTCACAGGTAAACTGCTGTGAGTTTGAAGATGTGTTCTTTTGGAAGCAGTGTAGAGTTAAAAAAAAAAAAAGGCCCTCCTCCAACTTCAACCATGTCTGTGTGCTGGCAAAGCCATTGCAGTACAGATACCTTGTATGTCTTCCACTGGGGAGTGTCCCTTAAGTAACCTGCATGTCTGTTCTTTCTGCTCAGGTTGAGGACAACAGCATTTTAATTTTAACTTTCTAAGTAATTATAATAGTGGCTGATGTGTGTATGTGGTGCAAATCTGTGTGTGTGGTTCTGGAAGAGGCTCATTCAAAAAGGCAAGACTTCCTGTTTCTTCGTAAGGACTAGTTGTTTGCTTATTTTCTCTTTTGTGCACGTAAAAATATTCCTTCTTTACCTTCTCTAATGCCTTCTGTCAGTCAAACTGCTTTGGAAAAGGTGCTGAGAGCTCTCAGGCTTATTCCACGTGATTTTGGCCATACTCAATTTTTTTTTGGTGTATGAGCATGGGAAGATTGAACGTTCAGCCCAGCTTCCAAAGTAAATTTAGATTTACTAACTCTGTGCCTCATACAAGTCTCTTTGCTTAAGAGAAAATCTGTAAGTCATTAGCAAGTGTCACTGCAATATATTTGAACAGCATTTGTTTCATAAGCATACATCCATTTGGGACTCTGCTTACCAGTACTTTTGTATTATTTAGAACGCAGTCATTGTGGGGCTTCAGCACCATCTACCGGTCGAAGTACCTCGTTCTAGTAGTTGTGCTCATCAGCTGGCGACCAGTTCCTACCATAGACCAGGGAACTACTTTCTGCATTACCTTGTCCAGTGCTTTGGTTCCAGAAGCTGCCACCTCCCAGCTGCTCGTTCAGATCCCGCTGAGAGGCGATCTGGGTGGGCCTCTTTGGGATGGTTTGCTGTGGGAACTTGTTTCTACAGATGGTACAGGCAAGATCGAGCCAGCTTTTGAATTCTGCCTTTTACCTAGGCCAGTGTTTCCTTAGACAGGCTGGTGCCTCCAGCAGCTTTGCTTATTAAAGGGCTTCTAAGAAGGCTGATCTGTGTGTTGGGTGTGTTATGTGTTTGTGTAGTCTTTTTTGTGTATTCTTTTTTTGGTTTTGTTTTTAAGTGAAAATACATGTCATGTGACTTCTTGTCTTGATTGTTATCCTTTAGAATTTTGAAAAGTGAGCTGGTAAGGCAAATTACCAATTAATAATTGTGATTCTGGAAAATTCATTTGAAATGCGTATCTTCAAATGCATAGCTAAACACGTCATAGCATTGTGTGTTTAACTATATAGAAATTGTTATGAAGTTTTCTGATGGGTTGTAACTGTTGCCCCTTGTAACTGTGTTTGGAAGGAAAACAAAAAATGAGAATGTTATCCTGGAGTCCTACATATGTAGAGTTGAGGGCAGTCACCATAAATCAAATTAGCCTTTACTTCCTGTAATTAACTGTTTCAAAATGGTAAATGACCTGTGTGCTGTTATGTCTGTCTAAACCTGCAGAAGACCAAATAAATTTTTTTCCCCTCCCCTTGTCTTGCAGGCATACAGTTGTCCCATGTGGGCACCCCATTCTTACCTGTACCCCCTGCACCAGGCCTATTTAGCTGCTTGTAGAATGTACCCAAACGTGTCCCTCCCTGTTTATCCGCACAACCCCTGGTTCCAGGAGGCTCCACCGACTCCGAATGAAAGCGAAGCTGCACGGACAAGCAGGCACTTTCCTGGGCAGAGCGAGGCCAGATCCAATGGTCAGATTCCCCAGGCTGATAGCAGATCTCCATCACTGCCTCTGATCATACCCACAGCTCAGGTGTCAGAAAGCCAAGGGCAGGTCTGCGTTGAATCGGAGAATCCAGCGCAAGCCCTTCACGCAAACTATGAGGAGTCCCTGAGAGGGAAAAACGTGTTCCCGCAGCCGCCCTTTGGACACAATCACTTCCTGGGAGCTGTTCCAATAGCACCTCCTTTCTTCCCTCACTTTTGGTATGGGTACCCAGTTCAGGGCTTCATTGAAAATTCAGTAGCGAGACCGAACGTCGTCATGTCACCTGAGGACAAAGAGACAGCGGTTGGCACCTCTGCGAGCGTGTACGCGGCTAAAGAGTGCGGTCCTCCGGTTCCTGCGGTGAACTGTGCAGAACAGCTTCAGAAAAATAACAGCAGCGGTGGCGGCTTGAACGCTGTGCCGTTCCCTGTGGCTTCTGCGAGCAGCGAGTGTGGAGCCCTGAAAGAAACTTCAGCCAGGGCACCTCAGTTGGAGCCGACTTCTCCTTCAGCTTCTCCTGCTAAGCAAAAACCAGCTGGGCAGCAACACCGCACGCCACAAATACAGGGTGGGACCGAGAGGCAGGCGGCGGTGCCCAACGCTTCGCCCCTGTTGGCGGAACCACCGAGAAACGAACTGAAAAACAGCGGTTCCAGTCGTAAGGAGAAGACCGATAAAGGTAGAGATTCCAAGGGCGCTGGTAACGTGCAGACGGAAAGCCGGGCACAGAGAACGAGGGAAGAGAGCTCTGAAGACGAGAGCGAAGTTTCCGATATGCTGAAAAGTGGTAGATCCAAGCAGTTTTATAACCAGACTTACGGAGGAGGCAGAAGGCCTAGACTTGAGTGGGGTTATTCCAGCAGGGGTGGGGGATACCAGTTCCAAAGAAATGAGGAAACCTGGAAGGGCCCCCCGAGCAGAAGCAGAGATGATGGCTACCAGTATCAGCGAAACTTCCGAGGGAGGCCCTATAGGAATGACCGGAGGAGGGCAGCACTGGGAGATAACCAGAGGGGACATCAAGCGTAGAATTGAATGGATGAATGAAAACTTTAAAATGAAAAAGTAATTTCAAGTAGCAGTTTAAAACCTTAATGTTTCTTTTTAGTGAAGTTCTAGGATATGTTTAACTTTTGGTGAATAAAGATGAGGAGGATGTGAACTCCTACCATATCAATTTTGGGGGGATTATAGTTTGTTTGGCTTAGCATTTTTTCCTCAATGTCAAATTAGAAAAGAAATTATATAGATTTAGTGTTTGATAATTTTTTTTTTCCCCACAAAGGTTTGAGTTTGTCATAGAAGATGGATATATACATTTACTAAAGTGACAGATTATAGCATTTGACATGGTCTAGATTCTAAAATTGACAGTGACATTGCACCAAATATAAATGTATATTTTATCATACAATGCCTTAGTTCTGAACTGAGCTAAAGGAATTCTCAGCCTACTGCACTGTTGTCTTTGATACGCTTCCAACCCAAAGGCCTTTCATCTCAAGAAAAAAAAAAAAAGAAAAAAAAAAGAAAAAACCCTAATCTGTCAGACTTGAATGTTTCTCTTCAGTGTGTTACACCTCTGGCAGCCAGATAGCCCTGTGTCTTAGGTATGTTGTATATAGTTCTTTTAATATTCATAGGGTATATTTTTGAATTTTAAAAAACACTTATTTGTTGAAATCAAAATCAAGACAAGCAGTCGAGAATAGCTGTATATGAAGTGGTAAGAATGGCTGTTTCCACCAAGAATTCTTAATGCTGGTGTGACTAGAACGGTGCCTATGCCAACTAAATAATTACAAAGACAATAAAAATGTAGATGCTATGCATTTCCAAAATAATTCTGCATCTGTTATAATAGCAGAAGTTTTTTTAATGCCACTTTAACACTAATGCACTGACAAATCCTAGATATTTTGTGAGGAGAGATGCATAAAGTACATGTTACGTTGGGCTTTTTTTTAAGTTTGTACGATTGAGCTACTGTTCAGTATTCTTTTGTTGCACTGTTGATGCAAAGTTACGTTTTGCATGTACAACTCATTGCTGGAACTACTTTTAAAAGCAAGATGGAGACTCTTGGTGCGCTCCGCTCTTCCCTACAATTCAGAAGAAAGTGGCTTCTGCCTTATATTTGTACACTGTGTCAGAGTTCTGATGCTGTTTCTTCTGACCCCGGTAACGATCTCTGCAGTGTTCCTGTTGCCTTTGCAGTTTGGGCGTTCAGCTGTCCGAACTGGGAGAGTGCAGTGTGCACAGTATTCACTCAGCTCTGTTGCTCTGTAAAATTAACTGTTGTGTATATTTTTTTATATCTCTGTATATACTAGCGTAGGTGGTGGTACCCTTTCATTTGTGTCCCAGATTGTATGCCCTCAATCAGGAAACCTGAGTGATAGTTAATGTGATAAAGGCTTCTTTTCAGATGCATGCCATGTATGAAACCCTACTGAAAATAAATGTTGGTCTTTCCATTTTCTTTCCAAATTATATTTAAATATCTGAAACTTGAGATGACACTAGATGCATGGTTTTATTCTGATAGAGCAGAACTGTAACGAATTAGTGTGTAGGCAAGCTGCAGACTAAGAGGATGTAATAAATCAGATTTCTAGTTGTTACTCAAAATGGTAGTTGTAGGGGCCATGCTGTGGGTATTTTTGTATTTTATTTAGACTTTCATTCAGAAACGTAATCAGGACTTCAGAAGAGACCATCGTCAGTTTTTCAGGTTGAGCAGTGAGCAAGCACTGAGGGATTTAACAGTTGATGCTATTGTGGTCCTCTGTTAAACAATTTCTCGTTACAAAGACTAAACGGGGCTTCCTGTCAGCTACCTTGTGACTTTCTGAAGTGCAACACCAGTTGTAGCCCAGATCTGTCCAGCAGTCACTGAAATAATCATTCAGTACTAGAGCAGGCACTGAATCATGAGCTTTGCTGCAAGAACAAAGGCAGGGCGCTTTCTATGGAAATCTCTTAGAAAGCAGAGGCATGGCAGAAACTGGCAGAGCTGTGCTTCTAGAATTTACTTTTAAAAACTGACTTAAAAGTAGTTAAGTTGGGCCTGTGCCCTGCCTTGCTGCTCCAGGACAGTTAAGCAGAAAATACACATCTGCACTTTACCTGTTGATTAAGTATGGTTTCCTCTTGTTTCGCTAATTATAGATTAATTGGCCAAACCGTTTACCTGGGACAAGAAGTTTCAGACTGCAGGATGCTGCTAGTTAGTAGAGGACTATATGTAATATTTAGCATATAGTGAGCTGAGATACATGGCTTCAGATATTTGCTGAATAATTTCTATACCTTGCCCTAATTAGGACAGCACGTGCAGAACTTGAGTCAAAGGGATTTCTCCTCATTTGCAGGACTAAATAACAAAGTTTAGTTAGCCTTTGTAAGTTTTTGTCTAAAGTTGTTCTTCACGGAGTATCTCTGGTATAATACAGATAGATTTCTGTTGTCAGTTAGACATTGCAAAGTAGGGTTATATAATATCTGATACTGCCAAGGTTATAAAGTATCCAACTGAAGACATCATGGCTTAAAAAAAAAACCAAAACAAACTACTGCCTTCTTATATAACTTAGGAGGAAAGGATGTAAATGAAGAACAAAGCTGTGGCATGTGTGGGGGTTTTTTTTACCTTAATGTTTTTTACCTTAATATTTTTCATGTGCTGATGAAGGCAGAACAGAACTGCTGCACAGGAAATACCTTTCCTTACTTTAAGATATATAGCTGAAAATTATTTTTACATGTCTATGAAACTTGTGTAACATTTGTATAGAAATCTGTAACTACAGGCACTTGCCCCTTTGCTGCCTGGACCTTACTGCATATGAAAATCGATTTTTATTAAGCTATTTACCTTCAATTTTGTCTATAGTAAGGATCAGACCTTTCACTTTATGCAGAAATACCTCTCACATCTTAGTCTTGTAAAAACTTGAATACTGGGTGCCAGCAGTTACAGATGGAAGGAGTTGATCAGGATTCTCACCTGCTAGTAAGTCTGAAGTGATCACTTCACTTTCCTTACCTAAGACAACTGGTTACCTTTCTATAAATCACAGCTTTGTTGTACTTCATTACGTGTCCCTGAAAATGTTTTGTACAATGTTTAAGCTACTAAATAATGGTTGGGTTTATTGTGCTTCTAACAACTGAGACTGTTTCAGCAGAGAAACGAGTGCTCCTTTGCCATGTTGCGAGGCAGGTGTACTGTGTTAAGCGAACTCTATACCCAGAAGCAGCAGGATTGTTTATGAAGCAAGCTCACTGCCTGTCTGCAGGTAATCAGTCCCACACAAGGGCATCTCTTGCCCGTCATTTTAGAAACATCCAATTTAGTTTTGTAAATCCCCTTTTTAGGTAGGGTGCTATTAAGAGCCTTCAGAGGCGAAGTATGCTTTGCTGTATGTGTATAAACAGATTTTAAAAAATCCCTACATCTATGGCACAGCCCAGGCTGAGAGAGGAGCTGCCAGTGTTTCTTTAATCCCTAACAAAGCTGTACACAGATGATCAGTGTATTATAAGCTTTTAAAGCAGTGTTCTCTGCAGCTCTGTGTGGCTGTGTCACAGTACAGGAGGAGGGTTTTGCTGACAAGGTGTCAGGACTTGGTGGAACAGAGAGCTTAATTACTGAAAACCCTCCTTCCTGTAGTGCTGAGTTTGTAGAACAAGCAGCTGCAAAAACCTGCCATTAGCCTTTCTTCACTATGGAGATTTAAGTGACAGAAGAGTGAAAGGGTTTTAATATTTTCTTTAAGACTTCAGCTGATTATTCTCCCATAACTAGGTCTGAGAAGATGCACAGGGACAGATGACTAAAAAAGGTGTCAGTCTCTTTTTATTGTTATATGTAGTTTGCACTCATTTTTTGTCTGTTCCTTTCCATAGTATGAGATGTGCATGACAACATCATATCCAGACTTCTGAATTAGTAATTGAAGAATTTTTCCACTGTCACAGAAGAGCTGTAAGTTAGGAAGATATTTATTTATGAAACCCTCATCTGGAGAGATTCCACCATTTTAAAATAGGAGTCATTTCTGTAGCCTGACACTCTGGGTAAGTCTCCCTCTTACAGAGAGAACAGCTTCAAAATTTTAAGATGAAGAAGCGCAGTCAGTACTTGGTACATGAGTAGGATAGATACTCAGTTGACAAGCTCCCTTCAAAATCTGAAAAATCTGGAGACGCAATTGCACAATTTCAGGGTGGTCTATTTTGAGATTATTACACTGAAAATAGGGCTGTGTCACCAAAATATATAAAGTGGCAGTTTTACTCAGACTAGGATTTACACTGCTACTCCTCTCATATTTTAAGCTCCAGAAGATTGAAGTGTTCTAAAACCTGATTGAACCTTCTCATCCACAAATGTTTAGATTCCAATATGCATTTCTATGTGCTGGGTACAAAGATGCTCATATTCAATATTTAGTCATCCAGGAAGAAGTAGTTTCCACTCTTCTTTTGTTCCACATCCTGGGGAAGAGAAAATAAAGCTCAATGTTACTGCAAGCAGTCATTAGCAGACTTGAAAAACACTGAGATAAAAGACACTTATCTAAACTTCTTTTTATGTACTACTCTTGCTAGTTGTTTTACATGCTGTTGTCCAGCACAGCAGAACAGTCAGGTTAATCTTCATTTTGTTCCTTGTTTTAAAACTTGGCTTTATAGTCAAGTCAGGGCTTCTTTACTGCAAAGGTGCTTCTCTCTTACCTTGATTGAATTTAGTTTGTTTATTCTTGGTCTGTAATTGTTGGGGTCTCTTCTAAAAGTGATTTCAAGTTGAGATAAAAACTTATTCATTCCAGCCAAAAGTGTCTGCGGGCTGTTAAGAGAGAAGAATATTCCAGCTAAGTTTTCAGAAGTTGGATGCTGTGCAGCTTACAGGCAGCTTTGATCTTCGCCCTGAGCTCATTCGGGGCTGGTAACGCAAAGGGGAGCTGTACATGAATCACTTTCAGTCAAATCATGTCTCACACAACAAGTCCTAACTACTCCTCTCATCTTTCAGCAGCGTCTCAGTGTGGCACTACACATCTTCAGACTGCTGCCACCTGTCTGTTCCTTTAGTTTCTATCTATGTGTGCTGGCACACTTATTTTCATTAAAAGCAAAAAAAGAATGGCACCATTAGCAAGATATAACGAAGACCATTAACATATGCTGAGAATCAGTTCTGCAATCACGATTTTTAAATTCAAACAAATGTGTCGATCGAGGGAATACTGGGCTAGCACTGCAGTGTAAACACAGGAAAGGTTCCCTACCTACACCTGGCTTGATAACTGCACTGTTCCAAAAACCTGGTTTCTAATACGGCTGCTCCTCAAACAGTCTCTGTAATTTACAGAACTCCCTTAAAGGAACCAAAGGAAACTTATCAAAAGGGACAGCTTTAAAAGAGTAAAACTCAGTACATGTTGCTGTCAAGCCTTGCACCTCATGAGGTTTGCGTAGAGGTACCCTCAGGTGGTTGCTTTCTTTTAGAACAGCTAAAAGTTATTGTCATAAGCATACTTAATTTACAGTTGATCCTTTTTTTTTTATTCTGCACCATCAATGCTACTTGTTTGTTGTTATGATTGTAATTTAATTGGTGTGCAGTTGCTTAAGGCTAGTTTAAGCCAGGAGCTGGTCTGGTTTTTGAGGGCTTGGTTGCATTCTCCAACTACATCCCAGCTCTGTGTCTTGGCAGCCTCTATGAGTGGGTCAATCCCATTTTCTTTGCTTTGCTTTAGAACTGTTGGATAACTTGAAATGCAGCTTAAATTGCCACAGGCAGGGATGCTTCACCTCCTTATTTCTGTTGGTGCTTCTGATAATTTGTTTCTATGTTGTTCTCTTATCTTGATCACTAATCTGAACAAGTCTCTTACCTGTTGGCAAGTGTGTTCTTGGAGGGAATACCATCAAAAACAATCACACGATCAGCAAGATAGGTAGCCATGATAAAGTCATGTTCAACCACAAATGCTGTTTTTTTAGCATGGAGAATGAAACTGAAATAGAAATAGAAAAGTGAGACAGCCAAACGCAAACTTACTGTAAGACTACTGAAAATTTCAGGTCTTTTTCCCAACCGTGTATACTTTACCGTTTAATGACTCTAGCAGCCATTAGACGCTGTTCAGAGTCCAAATATGCCGAAGGCTCATCAATTAGGTAGACATCCGCAGGTTTACCAAGACAAAGAGCTAACGCAACACGCTGCAGCTCACCCCCAGACAGCGTCTGAACCTGTTGGGGCGAGAGTAAGGGCAGTTAGTTCCATTACAGGTAGAGAACTGGAGAAGTTAGGATGCTGCCTCAGGCAATTAATACCTCCTGGTCAATGATGTTTTCTATCTGAAGAGGTTTCATTACATCCGTTACAAACTGGGGGTGTGTATAGGCATCTCTGATCTTCTCATGCAGTAGCTGACGGACACTTCCCTTGAGAAGAAAAATGTTGCCGCTCAGTTTTACGCACAACACCACAAGACAATGAGAAGAAATGGAACTAAGAGAGCTCTTTGTTCCAGGCATCAATAAATCCTGCCTGGGTACTAAGAACATGCTTTTTGTAAGAAGCACAATACTTAATAAATAAGGCTTCAACATACTGTAGATTTAGGACTGATCTTCTGTGGTTTGTAGCTGACATTTAGAACCGGGACCTCACCTATAAAGAGATATAATCTATAGTGAAAACAAGAGCCTTTCCAGTAGCTTCAGAATAGGTTTCAACTAAGGTATTAAGCACTACCTCCTTCATCGGGTGTAAGTCTTCCTGCAAGCATTCGAATAAACGTAGTTTTGCCAGTTCCTAAAATAAAATGCAAGTTACATATTACTTCAGATTTTTCAGTAACTTAAATCCCTAACAATTAATTCAGCGATACAAAAAAATAAAGAAAGAATACACTTTAAGATTAAACTATGTTGAGAATTCTTATTCACTTGAGTGAGTAGCAGTTGCTACTACTTGCTTTTTCAAACGGAAGAGACATCTATAGCTACAATAGTCTAGACTTCTGGCTCACCAGGACAATCATCATCCTGGCAGTCAAAGTTCTTAAAATGGGGAAAAAACAGCATCACTAACAGGTAATAACTTCAAGTTCCGGCTATTTAGAGAGCACGCTCATGTCTCTAGGACATCATCCCTTTGACCTGACTCAAGACCAGTAATTTAGAAGCCTGGCTCCCAGACTGCAGAAGGGCTTTAGGAGCACATTTAGGGCTGTAGAAGCAGTTTCCAACAAGAATTGCACTTACCATTTTCCCCTAACATCACCATAATTTCAGAATCAGTGAATTCTCCAGCTACTATGGATAGTTCAAATTCGCCCATCTTTTTTTTCATTCCAGGATATTTGTACATACACATCTTTTTAACCTCTTCTTCATTAGCTGTCTCAGCCACTTTAAATACCAGAGATGCATCTCGAAACCTTAGGTTTTCTGTTGGAACATAGCCATCTAAGAAAATGTTTATGCCTACGAAGAAAGTAAAAAAGATCATTAAGAAAACATCTACAACAAAACAACATGAATTTCAGTTCTTGGCTGTCAATTCCAGTCAGGTAAGGAGAACATTGGATTTTAAATGGCACGTTAAAAAGAGGCAACACAACCTCCTATTTGAATGTGTGTACATTATGCAAACTTAATGAAGAAAAAAAAAATCTTACTAAAATTACAGAAATGCTATAGAAGCTCTTCCTGAAAACCTAGCACTAGTAATATGTGTAAGGTTTAAAGAAACATCTGCTGCTGGGCCCATTCTTGCAAAAACCTTTACTACCGAGTCTTGGTGCTACAAAGGGGTCAAGTCATTTGAACTGGATGTACCTTTGTATTGTGCAAACTGTCTCCTGCCCTTTCTCTACTATTTACAGGGTCTTTTGTCTAACTCCACTGTTTACAAAACACCTGCAAGTATCAAACTTATGTCCATAGCAATTTAATTATTTCATAATTAGGACTTTTGGGTTGAGTTACAAATTGAGGATCATGGGAAACAGATATTCTGCACAAAACAGGACAGTAGTTTTTTAGTTACTGAACTATAACAGGAAGAAGACATGGTCACATAATAGACAATTAGCATGCTGGTACCTTTTTCTTTCACAGAATTTTTCTGCTAGGTTTAAAAAGAGAAATACGGCAAGAATTACCTTCTCTTACGCTGAAAGGCATAGTAACAACACCGTAAGCACTTGGCACACCATACAGGCAGCAGATGAAGTCAGAGAGATAATCTAACACACTTAGATCATGCTCTACAACAATAATGTACCTGAAAATTAGAGCCAGAGAGATGCTTTTATACTTGGGCTCAAAAACATTTATTTTTTCTTTCTTGCTCGAGTCTTGCTTAAACAAAAGCTATCAACATGATTTTCACTTAATACGGTTTCTTAGCTTTACACCTGATGTGGAGTTCAAGTCTCTAACAAGCATTTTTTTTTTTTTAAACTGTCCAAGCTGAAACTCCAGTGTAAACTGGCAGCTTCTTTATATAAGTGGAAGGATATTGATTGACTGGAGCAAAAAATAGTTAGCACATTTTAAGAAAAAAAAAAACTCTGTGAGAAGGGGGTGGAACAGCAATATTCACCAGGTGAAAAGCAACCACCTATATTTATACATCCTTATTACGAATTTTACCCCAATGCTGAAATGGTACAGAAACTGTTGGAAATAAGTTTCTAAAATGCAAAGGAACAAATATTGCTGACTTAGAACATGTTAAACATCTATTAGCACGCCATACTGAAAAGACAGCACTTGTAGGGAGATAGACTGGATACTTCTTCTCTCTGTAAACAATCACCTATTACTACAGTTTAACAAAACACTTAAAGTTTGTATTTACCTGTCAGGGTTTATTAGGGATCGAATGGTAATGGCAGCCTTCAAGCGCTGCTTGACATCTAGGTAGCTAGAAGGTTCATCAAACATGAAGCTAGCCCCAAAAGAAAGGACAAAGCCTTAGTTAATGCAAGCTTTCTTCATATTCAAGCCTACTACTAACATTTCTACCACTGAATACACAGGAAAAAAAATTAAAAAACATATTATTTATATTGATAGAGAGGAAAAATGAGAATTATGTACTAACACCTGCCTTGAACCTCTGAGGACTGTCACATGTGTTAATGGTCAAGTTAAGTATTCCTTTGCCAAAAGCTCTGATGAAGTTATCAGATGTTACAAGAAATCAGCAATCAGTTAGGATTCCCATGCACTCAGTTCTGATTCAGCTTAAATTTAACATGAACCAAGAAGTGCAAAAGGACATCTTCCAAAAGAGAAAAACAAAACAAACACGAAAACCCAAGCAAATCCTGCACCAAGGAGAAAAACCCACAGCCCAAACAAACAAAAAATAAAAAAAATCTAGACAAAAAAAAACCCACACAAAACCCAATTCCTATAACTCTTCTGATTTTGCTTTCTTGGTCCCAAGGAGCCAGGGAACAGCACAGACTAGACAGTAATTCCTGGTTGCAAGAGAGGAGAAGATGGACATGAGTCCCCAAACGTGATGAAGGATCAGTCCCTTTCCTACTCAGAGAGGCTAGGTGAGGTACTCTGTCAAACAGGTTTTGGGGGTTCATGGTAAGATGATGCAGTTGCCACGCTGAAATTTTACAGTAGCCTCTGAAATTAGCTATTTCCCATCAGAGGACTTGAAGTATAAGAACAGCAGGGATCATATACGGAGCAAGTATGGATCTCAGATGCTGAGTTGGTAAGAACATTCTTTTTATATAAAAAAAAAATCCTTTTGTTTAAATATTCCAAACAACATTGTTTCTAACAATAAATGTAAAATTAGAGGACCATATTCTGAAATCGATTATTTGAAGCAACGTGTAACAGAGGTAAATTAAACATACATATCAGCCTTCTGAATGCAAACAACTGCACAAGCAAATCTCTGAAGTTCTCCTCCTGAAAGGTCCTCAACATTTCTTTCTTTCAGATGGGTTAAGTCTGCAAATAAGTGGTTAATTTAGATATGTTATAACCAACACAACAATTTATATTTTTATTACCTACATAAACATGTATAATCACAGCAAACATCCTATGCAGAGGGGAAAACTGATGTAAGTGTTCAGTTTAGACAGAAGCATCATAAAGCTATTGGTAAGTCACAGCAAGCTACAGCTTCTCTGCAGCACTAGCCAATTAATTTGTATGGCTGCTTCTTTTTATGCAGAAGGATTTCATTTCTATTTGGTTTTACACCCTGTATTTGGTAAAAATTTCCAGCCCCCAAAAGAAACTATACCAGTTTTAAACGGGTTTCTTGTTAGACCTGACTGCAGAGTCCTGACTTGCAGGAAAATCAAGTCCCTCAAACGTTAACAGCAAATGGGCGAAGCCACGGTTTTCTCATTAGAACAATCATTTCAAGAATACACTGTTTCACTAATAAGCTAAGTGGGACCCAAACACCATGTTCTTGGTGGTACAGTGCTGCCCCACGTTTACTACTAAGATCTGCCAGAAAGAACCCTGTTGTTAATCTGGCAACCTGTCAAGTAAAAGCTAAATTTAATAGCAACTGAATTCAAAAGACCTAAAATGACCAGTGCTGAACTGAGCATGTGTTCTTCTTAACTGCATTATTCTCAGAAGTCAGTATTACTTCCAATATAATTAGCTATATAAAGCTTTTTTTTTTTTTTTTAAGAAAGAATTAAAAAGAAGAGGTTATTCTGGTACTTGGGTAGTATTTTCTATAAGCGATGGTTCTCACAAAGAGAGGATGTTAAGATTTTGCAAGAGATTTTGCTTGTAAGCAAGCCAGAGCAGCAAACGGTAACTGGAACTTTTCCAGATTTAAAAAGCATTTTCTACCACGAACTAGAGACTGCATTAGAATCTGTTAACTATCATGTATCAATTAGTTTGCTGTTGCCATGAAATATTATTTGCATTAGTTCAGATACGCTCATAGCAAGCCCAAGGCTTTAAACAAAAGCATTTTTACTTTTTTCTCCCTTTTTTTTTTAATTGGTGTAATTTAAACCTATCGTCACTTTATTTTTTCAGTAAATGTGATTTTCTCAAATGTTTGGACATTCCACTTCAAAAAATTGCTTACCAAGCTGCTGACATACAACAGTTTGTGTCTTGGTTTCATCTTTCCTATCCAGAATTGATCCCACTGTTCCCTGCAAGACAAATCATAAAAAACCCCACAACATTACTTCAACAATATAAATTTCAGACAGTGGTGGATCTCTGACATTGAATTATGCTGCTAAACAAAATCCTTAAACACAAGACAAGCGTATTATAGGAGAGGTCCCAGCTTTCTGTTACCTCACGTAATTTCTCACCTTTGCAGCTTTAGGGATCTGGTCCACATACTGAGGTTTAATGATAGCTTTCAGGTCATCTTCCAGGATCTTGGTAAAATAATTTTGTAATTCAGATCCTCGGAAATAAGTCAAAATTTCTTGCCAGTCAGGTGGATCCTGTAACAAAATTAAAGCTTGTGTTTACTTATGCCATTCTAAAAACATCATAAGAAATATCCAATTTTGCAATTCCAATCAATATAGCAAATAGAATATGCTTGCAAGATTAACCAAAAAGGGCTGGCTAAAAGTTAAGTTACCAAACTTATGTTGCTTCTGCAAAGTTTTCATTTATTTAAAAAACTGTAAAATAGCAAGATGGAGGATGGAAGTTCAGATATTATTTTTCAGGAGCAATGTCACCAGCCCCTTCAAGAATAAACCATTTTAAGCTTGTGCTAGAATATTCAAAACTGTCCTTAGGCAGTTCAAAAGCTACAAGTGAAACTATTTCAAGGGGAAAATGATAATATGGATTAATGTAACTTTACTTATTAGCTATCTGATCCGGCTAATTCAAGGGAAAAGGATTGGACTGAAAAAATCCACTTGCACAGAAGATGCCATAAAATTTGGTAATTTTCGCTGCGTCTACCAAATATTTCTAAGATAATGGAAGTAGAAGACAAAAGGAAAATCAACCAAAAAAACCTCAAAACAAAAAGGAACTGTTCAGAGCAATCACCCAGGAAAAGTAATTTTAATTCAATTTTAATTCAGAAAGACAAAAGTTGTGCTATTTCTGCAGTACTACCACCTGAAACAAGAAGTCCACAAAATCATATAAACCAAATTTGAAAGAGAATAGGAAATGTAGCTGGGAAATTATGACTTCTTTGCAGTTCTGTGCAGCCATGACATTAATAATTTATTAAAATATTACTCTTTCAGGTAAAGAAACTGATGAAGAAAGTTTGATCACACTCGTCTTTTTTTCCTGCTCACCCCTTCTTGAAGGACAGAAATGAGCATCAGAATTCAATTGTCACCATGTGAGCTGAAGGTGAGAAGGTGAAAACCAAAATTCTGTCTGATAAGAAGAGTCACGGTAGTTGCTATTATGTCTTATATCTACTGATATTCAGTCTTTGGAGTAGTGCTAGGTAAACAACAACATATTTTACAGATTGTCTTCACAAGAACCAAAGATCAAAAAGCAAAAGAGATCACAAGGGTACATGCTAAGTGCTCACAGACACTAAAGCTGTTCAGATAAGAACAACATTGAACTTAAAAGAAACTCCAAAACTTGAGCTGCTTAGGTGAATCATGCATGGGAAAAAAGCTGGCATTTTTAAACACTGCTATAAAAAAACCCCCAAACCTTAAGTGGGACTTAAAAGACAGAAACCCACTTCTGATATTTACCTTCAGGGAGTTACAATTTTAATTAGTATCCTTATCTTTCTTCAGAGATATACAGACCTTGAAAAAAAAAGCTTTGTTAACAACATCTTGCTATTGTTTCTATGTGCAGGGGTTCACTGGCTGTTTAAAAGGGAAAGTGACAACGTCCTCGCAAATTCTACAGGGTTCAACAAATAGAAAAATTCCGTGAAAAAAATATAACCACAGCTATGTATAATGCCAACCCTACTTAATTGCTGATACATACATCATATTTTCCAAGATTTGGTTTCTGTTTTCCTGCTAAAATTTTCAAGGCAGTTGATTTTCCAATACCATTGGTTCCAACCAATCCCAGTACTTCACCTGGACGAGGAATAGGCAACCTGTACCAACATCGATAACTCTGGATTAGATTAATGCCAAGAGACACCAAGATTTGATGGTAAAGGAAATGTTACAACCTGTTTTCAGATGTTCTGATTATTTTAACCTACTTTGTTAACTTGCCAATACATAATTCAAATGAAATCAGTAATCCTTAAAACCAGAAGATAACAAGAAAGATTTAAGAGCAGTCTGTTCTTTAAACAGGAGCTCTGTAAAATGAGCACTAAAATTTTATTTCACTGTAATACTTTTTAGTAAGAAAAAAAGCAGTTAACATCCAAAAAAAATAAGCTACTGAGGTAACAACCAAGAACACCTCGATGGGCACTATGTTTACACTTATCAAAAGCTTTTTTTTTTCCCCCTTTTGACATTGATTTGAAAAATAAAATACCTGTGAAGTTTGAAGGCATTGGCACAGTATCTATGTGTTGTTTCTTTCTCCAGGTTGCTGGGTAAGTTAACAATTGACAAGGCTCCAAAAGGACATTTCTGTAATTGAAATGAATTTAGAGATTAGTGCACACAATTTATTAACAAAACACTATGTTCTACTGCTAGGTGTCTACAGCCACAAACAAACAAAACCAAAGCCACAAACAAACAGTTACATCCTGCAACCCAACCAGTTCAGTAAACTGACACAGTACTTCACTTTCTATAAACAACAGTTAACAAGGTCTGACTATTCAAGGAAATAGAATTGCTTTTTGAAGTTACAGTATGCATTACTAAATCTAATGGCATAGTAAGGAAATATTACCACTTCCAATAAAGCAGCCTTTTACCTTAATGCAAATACCACAACCAATACAAAGAGTTTCTGAGATCCATGCTATTTTGCTCTGTGACGTGACTTCTATGCAGAGTTTTCCTGGTGAAAAAGAGGAAGATTAACTCAAGGAAGTTTCTGATGAATCCGAATTCTTGCCACTAATATGAAATTCCACAGAGGAACATATAACTCATTAACATTCACTGAAGCTTCAGATCATCTGAAGACCTGAAAAGTGGTCTATCAATTGTTCATGCTTTCAGTGATACTTCTAAGGGCTTTGTGAAACAAAGTATCAATGACAAACAAAACGTTAGCAATTAAAAAAAAAAAGGTAGTTCCTTCTGGGAGAACATTATTTGAAACTTCTCCCAACTGCTTAAGTAATTTGTAAAATCACATCTCTTACCCATGCGAACCACAGGACAACTCTTCTTGCATTCTTGACGGCATTTCTTTGGCTTACACTTGTCATGGTTGACAATAGCAATTCTTGTTAATTTGTCTGCCATAATGCACAATTTAGGGTTAAACACCGGTTATCCAATTATGAGTAGTGGAAGTCTTCCAGATCTTAAGCGGGGAAAAAAGAAATGCAAGAGAACATAATTACAGAGAAGAATATACATACCTGAAGTTACTATTAGCAAAGCTCAGAGATGAAAAACGCAAAATGATTAGATTTCTTTTTTTAAGCAAGGTGGCAAACACGGCAAAGTCTCAGATACAAGTAGTAAGGGTACTGGTGTGTACAATCTGTGTGTGCATTGATCTTCAGTATCAGCTTTCCATGCCATTACAATTTCTCTATTGCAAAATAAAACTCTGATTATCTCTGAGAACATATTTGTTTACAAGAAAAGCATGTCACAATAAGAACAAAACAATCTGTACAGCTGCAAATTTCCATTTCACAAGCTGCCTTTTGTAAAGTAACCTTCATGCTACAGCACCTGGTAAAGACAAACTGTGACTATGCTCCAAGAAATCAGTAAGAATATTAACTCTGCAAACTGTGTGCAAATATTCTATATTAAAAATACTGTAAAGTTTCAACCAAGTTTTCAAAGTTAAAAATTTGTAGTTGAATGTAGAAAGTAATCCAGGCAATGTGAAGAGACATACATGATGATGTTTGATTCTTTGAGTTCCATTAGTATTTGAATAACTACACTAAATGACAGGAATGACTAAAATATATTCCAATAGAAATAAGCAAGGTTCTTTATAAAATTATTTTTAGAAAAGAAAGGCCTTGGAGTACTAGACTAAATACTCCCGATATCTCAAATAAATGCACTCAAAAAAGTTAAATTACTACTTACATTCCTCTACGTAACTGTCTCTTCCCTTGCTTAGCTATTTGTAATGCGCACTGACAAGCACTGCATTGTACGGAGAATTTACGTCAACAGTTGTAGCAAAAGGGAAGGAAGGACAAAGAATTTAAATTTAAGTCCTGATAGATAGGAAAAAGTGCAATGTATTTTAAAGTGCATGTGTATTTCCTTTACCATATTTACAAATATAGTACTCAAGGTAACAATAACAACGACTTTATCTTCCTATGAGCAAGGCACACCTAAGGACAGCTCGCTCCAGTCCCTCCTGCTCCAGAACAACAAATCAGCTGAATTATAAGGCTCTTGGAAGTTTACAAGATATTAGAGATGAGAGCTCTATTTATTTTTTTTAGGTCTCAAGAAAGACCATAAAGTGAAAGCATTTCTAGTTCAATGTATCAGTATTTCAAAGATATAACTGGGAAGGAGTCTTGAAATACTTCAGGTTTTCACACATGCACTTCCTTCCAAGGAAAGGATTCCAACATTTCTTATTAAAGCAAATATTTTCTGATGGATGGCCAGTTCAACTTTGCTCCATCAAACTACAGTATCCTGCAGTGGTTTAGCGACGATTTACTACATATGGCTATTATATGAAGAAAGGCTGTGACTTGCAATCTCTTGACAGAAGTAAGAATAAAATAAGTGTACGGCACATTATCACATCAAACTCCTCCTTCCCTAAACCCATCTGTGAGCTACAGTTGGAAAAAAATCCTACAGATACTACTGGAATATGAAAGAAAGGAAGTGACTGGCATCTAACAGGAAGCAAAGGTCAGAAATGAAGATGTTATTCTATCTTTAAATCCAGTATTACTGGAGTCATGAACATTTTAAGTGGCAGTCTTATTCCTCTTTTCAATTTCCAAAGTATTTTTAAATTAATGTCTAAATATATTAATCAGATATAAATGTATGTAATTATTAGTCATGCTGTCAACCTTATTGTGGCAGTTTCTAATTTTAATATTTCAGTATATCTTTCTTTAATATTTTAACAGTTCCTAAGCCTAAAAATCCTAATAACATAGCTGATGTTTTCAAATACATGAATGATTATTTTAAAAAAATTGAAAAGTGATTTTACAGTTCTATATCATCAGACCAGTCAGACAAAGTAGGGCTGAACACTGCAATTACATCCAGAGGCCAGGCCAGCAGACATGGAATAATGGACTTGCAATTCTCAGTTTAATACATTTTTCTCAGATAAGAAAACAAGAAACTGAAAGTCTTATTCTTAAAAGAATCTATAAGGATGTTTGAGTCTGGGTAATTTTCTAGGATACAGACACTGGATTTTGTCAGTGCTTCAAATGAAGATACATTCGGAATATATCCCAGTGCTTTTCATAAAAGTCCTGCAGATTGGAGTGTGCAGCGTATTTGGGAGTGAATCACGCTCTCATTTCCCAAGGGAAGCACCTGATCTGGGTCAGCCCTTTCTCCAACAACGCCTGTGTGGCCGAGTATCCTGAGCAGAGACCACAGTGCCTATCTTCCGAGCAAGGCTTTCCCTGCTGGTTACCTTAGCTCCAACGATTCCTCTGGGTTACAGAAGGAAGCTCTAGGGCACAAAGCTGCCGTACTTCAGGAGCTCGCCTGCCCTGTCCAACCTCTCAAACCTCTGGTGAAGGTGACTGACTGCCTGAGCAGTGCAGATAAGCAGACCAGCCAAATTTGCCCCCCACCCACCCAGCCACCCAGTCAGGTGATCAGCCTAAAGCACCAAAGCAGAAGAACGGGATCAGGGTTCTTCTAAAAGACCAAGACAAATATGGCTCAAAGCAATTAGTTTTTGCCACCTCCCTCAGGAAGATAATCAGACTGAAGTGTACCCTGCTACCCATTGCTGAATCAGACCATGGTTGGTAAGAAATAAAAACAGGCCCAGTCTTTTTTCTAACTGATGTATATGGGAAAATGCCCAACTGCGGTGAAGAGATTTGCAGAGGCCATAGAAGTAGGTACACCAAGCAGTTGTAAAGAACTTGGTATGGGGAAACAGAACTAGTCAACGGGCACGGAGACACAGACTCCACGTGACGGAAGTGTCAGTTTATCCAAAGCTCTGCAGTGGTCTTAAATCAATTCCAGCAAAAAATATTTGTGACTTCTGTCCCTTCTGCAATACTTCCAGGACTATCCTGACGTCTTTGTTAGTAACTGTCCACAAGAGAAAACAATAATAATTTTTACTTGGAACTAACAGTCTCAAGCAATTTGAACAACGATGTCCAAAGCCAGACTGAACTCAGGTTACGTGTTTATGCATTTAACTTAACATACTGAACACAATCATCTGATTTCAAGGCGCAGACAGCAGAACTCTCAATGCACTGAACACAGGTCAGCTACGCGTACAACATGCATGCACTACCACACAGCATACCAGTAATTGTCAAGTGCAGTCAGCAGTTTAAGGGCAGGAGAAACTGGTATTCAGAAGCGTTTAAGTTCACGTCTACATTTCTGCTTTCCAAACCAAGAAGAACAGAACAAACACAAAGTGAGAAAATACTAATTTGTAACTAACTACAGAGTAAAGCCTTATTTTGAATTAGTGAATTCTGATGAAGCAATGAGAGAAAATCTTTCCAGAACTATGGACTGATGACCCAGGTGAAAGAATAAGAGAGGGAAAAAAACCAAACCTGTTAGCAAAAAAAAAAAAACAGAAGAAAAAAAAGTAATTCTAAAAACCCCAACAGTATTATTTACTGAAGCCAAAACCTCTCCATGAAGTCCAATTATAACAATTAATGCCAACGCTAAAATATCTAAAAGTGAGGGACATGTTACCACAGGAATTTTAAGTTACTGTTCTTAGGCTGTGTAACACAGCTGCTACTATCTCTGACATACCAGAAGAAATTAAAAAAATTTTTAAAAAAGTGTGTAGGCAGACTTTACTGTTACAAAATGCAACGGTATTGTCCAATCTATAAAACAAATGTAATGTATCTGCATTAAGAAATACCAGTATTTATTCATTTCACAGGCATTAGTTAGAGTTTACTAATTCAAGTCAATTATAACTAAGAAGGTTTTGTAATTTCATTAAATTTTTCAGCCTTAAACAAAGAAACGTTAAACAAATGAAAGACTGAAAGATAATCTGAGACAATTCAAGTAAATGATGTGAAGGTGAGATCTGGGTTCAGAATTGAACCAGATTTTAGCTATTTTGCAGAAAAAGTTAACATTCTATGAAATTGCATTGCTTCAGACCTCAAAGATAAAGGTTGTGGAAGAAGTGAGAATGAGCAGCATTTGGACTTTCTTATTAATCTCAGGAATTATTTCTGAATCCATTGCTCATGGATGGCACACAGTCGCTCCACAACAAGAACAATCAAGTTAAGAACTAGTATACCCAAAGAAAATTTAAATGAAAGATACAGATTTTCAAGCTGCATATGGGAGATCACTCCATTTGTAAGTGTCAAAGCAGAAATAATAGTAAATGCTTCAAGAACAAACAAAATCAACTAAGAATGAAGAACGAGTCTAGGCTTAAGGTTTTGACACTTGTTTTAGAAACTGAGACAGGGTACAAAAAGAAGTTTAAACAAGCCCTGAGTCTCCCTACTGTATTTAACTCATATTACTCATAAGGCACAGCATGAATATGAAAATAAACACCATGTTAACATGAAAAGCATATGGTCGAACATACTGACGCAGCATAATGAGTGGGTGCGTTTAGCTGGTGCTGAACAGCATTAATTATCACTCAATCTTTAATATTTCCTCTTAACATGAAGTAAAATGCATGGGAATAAACTCATGAAGAACCAATCCACCGTATGAAAATTACACAAGTATTTCACAACCACTGACTTGGGACTAGAATTTAGGAAACTAGAGAAGAGAAATTTGGATTAGAACTTGAAAACTCTTGAGAGAAACTTGCAGCTGAATTAACCGAGTGCATTCCAGAGAGGAAACATTACCATGGTCCTAGGAAGAAGCCCTGCCGAGGTTTTGTTTTAACATGTACCTTGTAAAACCTGCCTTACCCTATGACCTTAACCAAACCTGCAAAAACTCTTGATCTCCTCGCCACACAAGCACGCTCATGGCTACTGGCTTTCCCCAAAGTAAGGCAAAACATGGCTTTTTCCTCCAGCGGAGGAAGTCCCTTGCTTTCTTCCACGGGAGAAAAACCGCCGGCTTTCCCTTCCCCGGACCCAGGGTCCCTACGAGAGAGCGATTCCTGCGG